TATGGGAATTTTATACAAAGGACCAGTACAAGGAAGTGGGCACGTTTAAAGCTGCATTAGCTCTTAAAGCATTGCCCAATCAATCCATCATTGGATTATAGAAAGGTTATGCAACAAATGCAAGGGTACTAAACCATGCAAGGCTGATAAAGGAGACTATAAAGCACAGACTGCCAGGAGATGTAAACTCTCGAGAAACTTTGGAGATCAACAGGTCAGCTGGTGACACACCACAAAGTCTAGCCTTGAAGGAAGTGAAGTAAGAAGAGAGGCATTGTTAAATAAAAGCTGAAATGTTGCCCAAATTAAAGAGAAACTGGTAGATTTAAGCTTTTTATGCATTGGATCTCTCCAAACCTCAGTTTAAGAGATTTTCTGTGGAAATGCTTGAAAATAATCTGCAGCAAGACTTAAAAAGGTTCAGATGCTCTCTATTAAATATAAAAAATATTTTTTTGTTTTAAAATGTGCAAAGCTGTTAGAGACAACCAGCTGTTCGAAACGTAACGCAAATTGGTTCCACCAGCGACTGAGTCCTAAAAGAAAGAAAATAAATGGATACCACATGTCTAAAAGCCAGAAGTCTTCAAAACTATAACTTCCAATTCTATTTCACGATACACAGTACGTTGTGTTGGGTCTATCAAAAAATGTCCAAAACATATTAAGGTTAATGATTTTATCTTTTAGAAAAGTTCAGAAGGTTTGAAGTTAAAATGCGTCTGTGTGCAAGAATTAACCAACATTAAATGATTACAATGGACTAAGACTGGATCTTTTTTTATGCATTTAAGGAGCTTTCTTTCTCATGGTTATGGATTTGAAGCCATTTTTTTTCCTTTTCTCTGATGAATCATTCAGGGTGGTGCTGGAACATCTAAATAAGCCAAAACCACATTTGTGTCTTGCAATCAGTTCTTTAATTGTTTCCCTGATGGGATCATACTTTCATCACAAACCATGTTGGAAAGCGAGAATTTATTTTTTGCATAACTTCACAGGAAGCTAGTAGAATTATTTAAAAAGGCTAAATATTGACACACGAATATATTTAGCATTTAGTTTATTTCCTGTTATTGAGGTTGTATTGGTTTGCATGGTAAACAGAACCTGAGCAGAGTCAGGTCATCATAATCCATTCTCCAGATCTGCAGACAGACATTTCTGCATTATTGGGGTTCCTGACATTTGTAAATTTGTCCAGAAAATCAGTGACACAATTTATCACATCCTCTCGGTTTAGGCTGAAACACCAGCAACTCAGCAGTGACCATTACAATTCTATCTAAAGCAGCTTAAAACTAGTGTATTAGCTTACTAAAAGCATGCTGGATGTACCATGATCAATGCATCAATCTGAATTGCATGCACTAAGGATGTGTTGCATATTTTTAAAGAATGCAAGACTTAAAATTTAAACCAAAATGGAGCGCTCCTTGGTGAATTTCACCTTATAGGGCTCTTCAGTCTGCAGCTCAAACTTGAAGCTGATTACAAATGAGGTCACATCAGTGATTATGAATCAATTATAAAAATGCAAATATAGCTCTGAATGAATGTGTGCCTTGTTTCATAGAGCTTTTATATGTTCTACTTAAAATAACAGAAACGACAATTCTGACGGGATGTATGATGCCAAGATAGGAAATCTTTTATTACAGAGAAAAAAACAAAAAAAAAAAAAAGACTTTTCTTCCAAAATATAGAAATCTGTACAACTTCCGCACAATCAATTTACATGAACTGTACAAATTTACAGCAGTTCATCGCAACATACCCAAGAAAAAGGAAACTGAACACAATATTGATGTACTGACATGAAATCACAAGATACAGCTTTTCCTGCTTGGGTAAGCTCAGATTTTTTTGTCTATTTTCTCATTTTGTATGTAAATAGGAACAAAAAAAGAAAAAAAACAGAGAAAAAAAAAATCAAACAAAGAAAAAAAAAAAGATAAGGATACGCCTATAGTTACAGATCATGGAAAACTAAGTTCATTTTTTTAAACCCGAAAACAACTTTGGTCCTTGCCAGCACTCCCATCACAAATGGCTTCACTTATGAAAAACTTTATCCATGTTAAAAGATGAAATACAAAAGTAAAGGAAAAGACCATCGAAAAACACTTCAAAATTGCAATTATTGGCACTTCCCATGTGTAATGTTATGCACTCTACAATTTGTTGTACAGTTACAATACATTCTATCATATGTAAAAACACCTCAAATGTGAAAGTGGCAATAATTTAGCGGATCATCAACGTTATGACAGTATGGAAAAAAACTGCTGTTCCCTTCTGGTTTCATATCTTAACATGCACAACGTTTCCATAAGAGTATTTACGAAGTGTTTGAGGCCTGAGTTTGGCAATACATTCCAGGAGAGACTCCTCGCGTCTCGGATAAAAAGAAGAAGAAGAAAACAAAAACAAAGAGTCACAACTTCAGTTTGACATTTAGTGCATTTATGTGCTATTTTACTTCTGAATACTCAAAGCGCTCTCACAATTCTATAACCTATGTGCACACGAGAACATTGGATGCCATTAAAATTTATGAAACTTGGGAGGATGGGAGGGACTTTTTTTTATGTTTTAGCTAAATAAAACCAATGTTAGAAAGTTGTCACTAGAAGAAAAGTGAACGCACATCAGAAAATGTGCAATAGTTACGGACAAAAGGAAAGGGAGACCCTAACGGTGCGACTATAAAACACATTGGAAAAAAAAGTGAGACAAGACGATCATCTTGTTTCTGAAATATAGACCAACCTCTAACATCTAGTCAGCTGACAAAAAAAACAAAAACAATAAAACTGTAAAATGGAGCAGCATGATTATTAAAACAAAAACAACGGTCCACCATGGAAAGCAGAGTTAGGCTCCCATCACAGCAGGCTCCGATCTATCTTGCCAACATGGAATCACTGCTTTTCACAGATTGCTGAAGGGAATATCAGCAGAGAGCAACGGCAACTAAGGCTCGGGGGTAGAGTGAGGGAGGGAGGGTTGCAGTGCATCAAATGCTGTAGCTATATATTACCCATGATCTTCTCAGGGGCTTAGTGGAGCTTTAAACACCCCTTGGTATGGTGATGAGGAGGGAAACCAGCCTGCCGTGACAGATCTGGCCGGTGACTGAGGCCTGAGCATCACCTGAAGCCGTTCCAGCATCTGTTCCGTCATGCCGTTATCCACTTGACCTCAAGACCAATGAGTAAAGTGGGGGTACAATGACAGCTGCCACCATTTATTTTTTTCTATGAATGTAAACAAAGTTGCTACTCACTCAGTAATTAAGTGCAGCACAATCCAGTGAGATGAATGAATGGCCCAGTACCCTCAAGTTCTTCAGCTTTTAGATCCATGTCCCCTCGCATCCAACCAAATCCACCTAATGTGCGTGTGCTGGTTATTCATCACCACTGAGGGAGGGCGGAGGGCTTCTGGTCGAGGTGGGCAGATTTCAGGGGGAATTAAAATCAGAAGGAGGGGGGCTGGAGGGATTTTAGCTGCCTTGGACAAAAGAGTCTGGCCCTGGACCCCCCAGCTTCTCTCACACCTGAGCTTCCCAACCTCGGCCGTCCTTACCCAGCTCCCCCGCGATGATGAAGGGTGATATGTGTCACATTAAGTTTATCTGCATACACAGGGGTCAGCTAGCAGCATCCCAACTTGGTTTTTGTGAAACAGGAGGTCTAAGCAAAGGAGTGGCATTTTAAGGTTCAAACACCGATGGCTGAGTTGGAACTGCCATAAACTGGAAAATGGACACCCCAAATGAGGGTTCAAGTAGCAAATTTAGCTTATGGTCATAAATCCCTCATAAAGGTGGACAATGAGGTGTTAAAGCAGGGTACCCAATTATATTAGCCTATGCTTCCGACCTTGTGTTTTTCTTCTTTGACTCTGCAAGCAGAATCATGGTTTTGGAGAAAAGGGTGCAACGTGACTGAACTTTGGCCTAATCAGCAGTGACTTAAGGTATTAAATAGTCTTGCTACCATAACTACCCAAAATATTCTTAACCCAAGAACTACCCTGAAATGTTAATGTCTACAAAAACATGACGTTGCACAGTCCCTTACTGACACTAAAACACCAGTTTTTTGAACAACCATCTAGAACTGCCATGGCAAACGAGGCCAATAGAATGGATGGAATGGAGGCGATTTTTCTCCGAGAAGGTACACACCCCACACAATCTCACATCAAAGTGCATTCAATATCGACTTAAACTGGGCCACAAGACCATCATTTGGGTAAACAGAGCACCTCCAATGCCCCTCTTGGCTACAATTTTACTTTTGGTAATGCGTGAGATGACAAAGTGGGGCAAATATAATAACACCAGTGATGGATCCTGATTGCAAACTTCAACAACATTCATGGACTTGAGGGGGAGAGATCCCCAAAGAAGCTACACGTATATGGGTAATATGGGGCGGTTGACAGTGCAATTGGACACAATGGTATCAATGGGTGTCACAAGATGAGCAAAGACCACAATTGTTATAAAAGCCAGATGATAAAGAATGTTTTGTTGTGGTCCAAAACCTGTTTTTCTAGAAATAGAGGTGCCATTATTGATTATTTCTTTATCTTTAGCTTGGGTTTGCTATTGCAGGACCTAAACCTCTACTTCCTCCGAACCCAAGCAAAAGAACCAATGACCAATTAAATGTTTAAAATTCTTGGGCAGGGGAATCTTCCCAATTTAGTCTGCTCTTGCCATAGTACCCAATAGTACCCACATGAAAGTTAGAAAGTGCAAAGTCAATGCTGATAGCCCCTTCTGAGATGGAGCAGTTTAGAATGTTAAAAGCTAAGTAAGGGGTGCTGGGTGTTTCGGAGCCATTTTCCATGGGGATGATTGCGGGGTAGGTGTTTCTTGGTTGGTTGGATGGTTTAGCTGCCCCAACAGTACGATTTTCACAAAGCCTCTTGTTAAGAAAACGGAGTGCCCAGCTGATCCAATGACAACACAACAGATGACAGCTGGCAGAGAAGGTAAAAAATATTGAACCAATAGGTTTCCATCACCTGGACGATAGGCCACATCCTCTGTTTTTTTTTTCTTCTTTCACTATTTCATTTCATATTCTTAGCTTTAAAAGGGCTCACATGATCTGACCAGCCACTGTGTAACCCTGAACAAAAGTAGGCTGGGGTGACCGCACACCACTTTAACCGGACACTGTCATCATATTATTGTAGGCCTTGGAGGGGCTGTTCCTGCCCAACACCCTCATTTCCTCCTTGCAGCTGAGGCGTGTTTCCATGGAGCCGACAGACCCATGTCCGAAGGCAGAGCTTGCGGACAGGGGCATGCCGACAGGACCGGGCTGAGACTCATACAGGACGCAGATGGAGCCGTCTTCACCAATGCGGTAGGACACCTCGAAGGGGTCAACCCAGAGGGTAAGCTCGCTGGGCAGCAGTAGGTAGAGTTGCTGGATGGTAAGGCCAATGCGCTGGCCTGCCTGCCCTACCAGTGGGTCCATCTTATGATTGATGCGGATGCAGCGGTAACCTGAGCCCTTGCAGGGCTTGTCTGGGAACCAGTGGTGCTTGTATTGCTCTGCAAGGGAAACAAAGAAAAAGAAGATGGAGAGAGTTTAGCTACAGGGGGGCTGCCTAGAGCACACAAAAAGTCATAAGATTTCAGATGGTTTACTAATGTCAGTCAGTATGTAACAACTGTGGAAAGATCACATAATTCCATATTGGGGCATTGTCTAGAAAAATGAACATATTTCCTCCCTTATGCATTAAATAATTTAAACTGGAATATTAGACTAACTTAATAGGAGGTTGTTCACATAACATCAAAAGTACAAAAGAATAAGAAAAAAAAAAAAAAAAACACCACCTGCTGCAGGCATGATAAGCTGCCATAAACAACCAGCCAACTGCAGGCTCTGCCTACGTGACAAAGGGCCTGCCACTGAATTGCACAATTCCTCCTCTGGCCTTAAGAAAAAAAAAATAAAAAAAAAAAAAAAAAAAAAAACTCCTGCGTCTGCCTGAACAAAAACACCAAAAGTGTCCCAGACAGCCATTGGGGACACAAAGCTCCACCTCCTAAAAGGAAGAGGCTGTGCCTCCCCACCCCCTTTCCTTTATTGTGGAAGTTTCAAGGGCCTGGTGAAACTAGTGACATAGAACTACTCCCATTAATTTTAACATGATTAATTATAATCAGCGGGTAATCGTTTAAATATAGCCTGGATTTTTATTAGATGCAAATGTATTAGTACTGCACTTTTAAAAAGTTTAGACCAATCTTTTCAGGAAACGGTCAGAAGAACCTTCTCCTTGTTTTCCACGTTGAATTTCCAGTTATCAGGGTATTAATCGGATAATTTTATTTAAAAAAAGATTTTTCCATTTAAAGCGCAGCCCGTGGGCAACCTGTATGCATTAAGAGAATAATAACACCCCCACCCCCATGCCTTATCACGGACGGCTGTGTAAACTGAGCCAAAGGAGGGCCAAAGAATGGCTTCAGCTAGAGTGACAAAGGCAGCTGCCAGCAGACCCCAGAGCAGCTGGCAAATCAGTTCGGGGTCTATTCTTCAAAATGAGGGCACCTTTTTTTTTTTTTTTTTTTACATTAACAAAGTAGGATATTTATGCATCTGTAGTAAACCAAAGGAACATATAGTATGCGGGCACATCAAGGCCCCAGTTATCAGGTCACCATTTTCAAATTTAAATCAAGAACATTATCAAAACTTATTCAACTCTTTATGGCTGGCCTAGTCTAAGAGCCATTAAGAGTATAAAAGCCAGAAACAATGCGTTCTTTGTTTTCTGGTTTTGAATTCTGACAATAAACCTGAATCAGATTAATTTCTGATCAACAAAGCAATTACAAAACAAGATTAATCTGAAGGTAACATGGAGGCAAAAACAGCTCAATCCCAAAAAAACCCCTAAATAATTGAAAAATAAAATCAATCATCTTTAAATATTTCCCAACATTGAACTTAATGTATATTCCGTTAAGGCGCTTTGGACTGAAAATGTAGGTCAGTCGCTGCTGTGCGTTAACTGGAATGAGGCAGATGTATGGCAGCTTAAGAGTTCTGAGCTCGGAATATGTTCAGGCAGGAAATGAGACACTCGCTGCTCTGTTCTGTGGAAAAACACTGCTCTAATCCTCAACAGCATCCAAAACCATCTCCGTGCGTAAAAACATAAACGCTCAATTTCAATACTCTATGAACGTAATAAAAACGCTTAGACAAAAGGATCCTATGAGGAAATTGTTTTAAAAAAAGGATACCCAAATAGAGAAAATTAGATTACATGGTTAATGTTCCACTTATACGCGCAATCGCCCCTAAAATAGATGGCAAATAGGGTAAGATGTCGTAAAAACGCGTTTATTACGCATGAATAATATTTTTTTTCTGATTCATTTTAAATGCAGTCTTTATATTATATTATATTATATAAAGTGTGTTTCCTGGTTGTACACATTTCAGCATGAATCCATTCACTCTGATGCATTACGTAATTGAACGGCCTCACTGAGGCTTGTTTTGCTCACAGCTCTCTGTTCTCTCCAAGCTTCGTCGAGCGAGGCGCACTTCCTTGTTAGAGCGTCTTTTTTTCCCCCACCCCCACACTCTACCCAAATACACGGTTTTCCTATCTTTACACTGTTGGACATAAAATAAAAAACATTTTCATGACATTAAAGTATAAATACTGGTCGATCTCTCATTGCGCTCCTTATGGTTTTGTTTTCGCTCCTCTCTGCTGTGCGCAAACCGAAGTGGCGCTCAGTGAGACTTCAGAGAACAAAGAAAAGCTTCAACTCAATAATTAAAACACATTTTTTTACACTACAGATTAAATTAACAGTTGTAACTGATGGCTTTCAGCAACTGGGAATGAATTCTGTGCGTATTTGGATGATTTTCTGGTTCCCTTACCTGCCAGAATGTCCTGTAAGCTTTGGCTGAATGTTTGGACCTGTCGGTCGTTTACGTGTCCTTTTACCCTCAGAAATCTCGACAGAAACCCCACAGCGGCAGTTATTTCTGGTTTCATCGTTCCACGGGCACAAAGGGGATGCATTGAGAAAGGCCACGGCGACGATCCGTGCGTTTTTGTTGCTGTTTTTGTTGCTTTTTTTCCTTTTTTTTACGTGTTTTTCCGACAGTTCGTCTTTCCTCTCGTTGCAGTGCGGCGATCCTGGTTTGTTTCTGCTTTTCTTGGCATTTATTAGTTGAGGTATGATGTCGTTTTCCCGGATGATCTGTATCGGGGAAACAAGCGTCTGTTATTCGTAAATACAGAGGGGGGGTTGGGGGAGGGTCCTACGACAACCTGCACCAACCCTTGCGGCTTGCTGTTCTTCTCCAGAGTGGGGGTTTTACAGAGGAGAGCAGCGCTTTTATACTCTGCTGCCCCTCCTTCCCAACATCATCGTCACTAAACTCTACGGCAACTACAGCTGACCAATCAGAGGCGTGAACACCGACAGACGAGAGACATTTAGAGGGAGGGGAGCGTTGACGTCATCGAGCTGAAAATAAACAAGAGTCGTCCGGCGTGAAATTGTGCTGCGTTCCCGTACTATAGGAAAAAATAGTTACCTACAAGAATATAAAGTTATGTTTACACCATCAAAATATAGGCCATAGCATAAAGATCTGGAAAGTATTGCGTGTGTATTAGATCTTTTAAAAGCTTGTGCAGACATATTTGTTAAAAGTCACCTAACCTGGTAGTAATTTAATCTTTTGCAAACAAAGCTTGGCAGAAAAGGTTGGTTGATGTTTCTTTTTACTCAAGTTAAGTCAACTTTGTTGTACTACTATTCATTTCATTGGGAAAGCAAGGGACTGCCAAGTAGCTCCAATTTCAGTGTCTGCGGCAAAATAAATATAGGAGGAAATGCATTTATAAATTATTTAATACCAGTATATAGATTTGTATTACAGTCAGTGGTGGTTCTATACCAAATGTTCCAGGGGACAGGAGGGGGCCAGAGTGTTTTTATGGGGGCCCAGAAAAGCATGAAATAAAAAACAGGGCAAGGGATTAAGATATATTAAGACAGCTAAAAGAAGTGACATTTCTATTTAATTAGGTTTAATTAAAATTCTATTTCTTATTAGGTCTATATACATTAATAATTTAGGAATTGTGACTTAATTTAAGGTAAAATTAACATTTTCTATAAAATCTGAATTAGAACTCAAGAAAAACTGATAAATTTAGCTGTAAAAATTAGAGCAATTTGTTTTGAAAAAAACATTTAGCAGATGAAAACTGGGACCCTATCTCATACCACTGAAGGTATCACTTTATTGTTTTTGATTAATTAGTAAAACAGAATTTGTAAAGAAAAAAAAGGAAATAGATCCAAAGAACCTATCAGTAACCATGTCTGTTCCAATGCATATGATCATTAGCATTTATTTGAGTTTTATGTCTTCAGTACAGGGGCCATGGCAGGGGCCAGGACATGATCTACAGGGGCACTGGCCCCCGTTAGCCCCTGTCTAGAACCGCCCATGATTATAGTAGCACATTTCTTTATTTTCTGGAGAAATAGCATGTAGAAAAGCATTTTTTTCCCCTGTTGCTACCATTAGTTTGAAGGAAGACAGTTTTCCATTGTTTTATTATATGTGCAGATGGAAACGGTCAAACCTGTGTTTATTTACCAGAACCAAGCTTCAACGTTACAGACAACAGACGTAGGCTTACTTGAAAATGTAATAACTGTTGCTTTCAACTATTCCATTTTAGCTCTGTCAGTTATGTATTGTCCTCAGGGCTAATTTTCCAATGTTTCTTTTTTTTTTTTTAACACAGGTTTTCTTCCAAGACTGTGATGTATTCAGTTTAATCTTTCCACACATCAAGTCTGACCAGTTTCCCTCTCCCAAACACGCTCTGGAAATGATGAAAAGCATTTTCAGAGCATGATGGTGACGCCAAGGGGTCTTGAAGCATCCTCAAGGTCATGTGTAATGTTATTTTCACCCCTAGTTAACATTTATATAAAGTAAATACGCCTAGTTTACGCCTAGTGATGATGTGTTGCAACACATTTTATATAGGGATATCAGAGTAAAGGGGAATGAAAACATTTAACAATTTTAAGAGTTTGGTTCAGATATGGAATGATGTGATTCTAATCAGAAATAAAAAAAAAAACATCAATACCCTACTTTAGGTTATTTAGTTCTTTTTGTAGAATAATGACGAAGTAGAGCACACAAAAACAACTATGAGATAAAAACAACAGAGGAAATCAATATTGGCCAACTGTTTGCTTTGGGACGTAGGAGGAAAAGAAAACTCATGCAAATTTCAAACAGTGCCAAGATCCAAACCATAACTCCTTACAGTGAGGTGGCAGTGCTGACATCAGCAGCACATCTCAGGACCATAAACAAGGATTTTAAGTGGCATAAAAAAAACAGTATAAGGAAACCTGGGAAGGTGCAGAGGTCAGATAATTTGTCACTTCCATACATGCATTGGATTTTGCTCAGTTTTTGAAGAAATAGAAAATAAGGAAGAACGTTAAAGTTCTTCTAATTTTTTAAAACTTTTTTCTTACTTAAAATTTACATTTTTTCTGCTTTTCCAAAGATCACTTGTGTTTTTTAGTTCATTTTACACATTGTTTTCAATGAAATTTTAAGTGGTTCAAAAGTTCGAAAGTTTGCTTTTTATTAAGTTATTTTCCATAAAACAAGCTCATTATCCAACATATAGCTTGTTACAAATGGAGAAAATATGATACACATTTATCTAATTAATTTACATGATCAAAATAACAATATTATTTCTTCTAAAATAATTTAAATATTAAAAAAATACAATTATGTGTGAAAGCTTTTAACTAACTGGTTAAAAGATTTGTTTGACTGAATTGTTTCTGGTGTTTAAAATTTGTACTTCCTTTAGTTAGACTGGATAGTAAAGAAAACAGCTGTTTTCCATGAGAGATGCAGATAAAGACAGGGGCAGCATGGCTGTTTACTTTACCATAGTTATTATAGCAAAGTTATATTGTATTTAGCTCTAGCACTCAAGCATGTCTGAGGCTGTTTGGTCAAATACAAACCAGAAGGAGTTCCAATCGTTTAAGAAAACACACCTTATATGACCTTGTTTAAAAGCAAAGAGGTAACTTTGTGTTGAAGATCTTCTCAGGGGCCAATTTTTCACTTGTTGATTAAAATCAGTGGAAAAATACAGACTTCAGTTGGTTGTTTGTTGCAGACTCAGTCATGATGACCCATTGAACTCTTCAATCATGAAGCAACCAGCTGGATGAGAACCACATTGAGAAGGTCAAGTTCTGCCCTGAAGGCATACAAAAAGGCATACAAAAACAAATATATATATATTTGTCTCTTCAAGGCTTATTTAGTTCCAACTTTAGCATTTGAGGTCCGGATTCTGACAAATGGCCTTAGTTTTGATTTTAGGATCTTTTTTACGATCCCATAGACTTTAATTTGGCTTTTGGTCATTTCTTTGTTTTGATCCTCGTGCTTTGAATTATATTGTTGTATATCTACCTTTGTTTGAATGGAAGGTGCCCTTTTCCTTTGGTTACAAATTCAGCCAACATCATCAGCTCTCCACCACAATTCTTGACAGTTGTCCCATTTTGTGGTAGAAGAAGTTTTTGCTGACATGCTTTGGTTTTCTTCCATTCGACATTTTGGTCTCCTTTGTTCAAAGGACATTTTCCTACAACTTTTTTACTTACATATGGCAAATCTTACAAAATATCTGTGCATTCAACATAGTAATTGAGGCTGAGTTTGATAGAGGTTGCTTCAATTTTTCCAATTTATCTAAACATTGGAAGGCAATGTTTTATATTTAAACAAAAACTGAAAAAGTATCTTTTAACCCTTTTTAGATCAATTGACAGCTGTTAGAAATTATTTCTTCTGCTTTTAGGTCACAGTTTAGGAGTGTTTTAACTGTAGTGACATTTGACTTGTAAGATATCTAACCACTTTTGCAAAGCTTCCTTTGTTTTGACCAAAATAACAAACAGTCCCAAAACACAGGGGGATCCTCAGATCCTATACATGTTTATGACTGTGGAAAACCCCAAAGCTCATCAACACAAACACCCTTAGTAATAGTTTCAGCCAGACTGACTAACCAGGAACCAGTGGAGGCTTTCAGATATTCTATAAGTTCCCGCTTTTCACTTTTGATCACAGATCCCAGTTTTACTCTGCTACTTTTTATTAACATGACACAGAAATTCATTGTAAATCATATCTGTTTCACTGTTTACATGTTAACAGTAAAATAAAATTAGTCTTAACTAAGTCAAGACCTATAAAGTCTGTATATGAACCTGGTCTAGAGTGCTTTAAGGCTTTTATTTTATAAATCTTCGTTGTCAACAACAACAGCTTCTTTGTATCTTTTTAGAACAACCTGTGCAGTGATTAGTAAATCATTTTCTGATCATTTTGACTACTGAAAGCACTTTACACATTAACCCAGTCACACTCACAATATGCACACACACACATTTATTCTCCAATACACAGATAGGTAGACAACATTGGGTTAAGTGCCTTGCTCAGCAGCACATTGACATGGTGGAATAGAACCTATAACCTTCTAATTCCCAGACAGTAAGTCAGATACCGTAATGTTTAATTTCACAGAACATATCGACTCAACTAAAGATAAAGCCTTAACACTGAGCAAAGAGACACAGAAATAAAGTTACTACATTTATCTTTAAAGCCTTGATGATCAATTTTATAGCAGAGGTGTGAAATAAATGTTGTATCAGAGCTTGGGATCAGCTCCATCTTTTATGCAGTGTGGTAAGTCTGCATCTTTGATGTTGGGGACTTTGGTTTGAATCTCGGCTTCCCAAGTACAAACTCTTCCAAGTAGCGGTGACTGGATGTAGTCACTCCTTAAAGGAGCAGCGGAAAGGACTCACAGTCACATCCCATTTAAAGCCAGCATGAACCCCAGATGACAGAGCAACAACATCTAAATCAAAACAGATGTCTGCGTACATGTAGCAGTTATAAAGTTTAACTTTCACACATTAAGGAGACTTAATGCGTAACAGAGAAAAGCACACAAGCTGAAAAGAGCACTAATGAAAGCTGCTGTGTTTTTTTTACTCAGCAGAAGCAGTGGAAAAAAGGAAGAGGTTTGCAAGTAAAACCTAATACTCCGTATGTGTATCGCACAGGCATATGTGATCAGGCAGCTGCCTCATTACTGACAGCAATTGTGGGTGTGGGTGTGGGTGTGCAAGGCTGAATGCTGGCAGCTCAGCAGCAAGATAAAAGTCAAACGCCATAAAAGAGAAAGAGAAACGAAGTAAAAAGCCATAAG